TGCCAGTGTATACCGATAGCACAGGCGAGGTTACCATTTTATTATCATCCATTAAAAAAATACATCTTAGTAAGAGGGACACGTTAACGACGGGTATATTGTAGCTAGTAAGAAGTAGTTTGAACGATGACGTTTAATGATGAGATGTACAGAAAATATTACTTTGAAGTGTCAACAACTGTGCAACTTAAAATATAAGCAACTGGCAATTGTTTTCCGGTCTTTTTCTCATTTAATATCATGTAATCTATGATATTATGTTATTATATGAAGAAATAATAATATTTTATGGTGAAATACTATGTAAAACCAAAAAAAAACAGCAATGCAGCAACCATCATCATCATCATTATCATATCAGCCTTTAACTGTCCACTGCTGGACGTAAGTCACCCCCTTGGGAGGTTTTGCCCGTAGTTGCCGCGCTTGGCAGGCGGGTTGGTAACCGCAGTTAGGCTTTGGAGATGTTTTAAGAAGGACGCTGCTGCCCATCCCCACCCATGGGAAAGGAAAAGGTGGCCTATTCTATGCCGGGACCACACAGCAAGTACCGGCCGAATAATACATGGTATTATATTATCTGTGACTTGGGTATAACGCAGTAACTAAATAAGAGCTAAGTACGAGCCTCGAAGTTTATTTTATACGCAGTCAACTTCCAGAAGTTCTTCTTCGTCTTGCTAGATAGTATCCAGTATTCACCGTTCGGTTCCTTCGTCAATAAATACCACTGCTCCGAAGAACAACAGATCAGCAACGGAATCACATCACTCAAATCTTTATTGTGTCTAAACATCTTAAATAAATAATTGGAAAATTGTACATAAAATCATATAAAATTCAATAGGTTTATAATACCTTTTAAGAGATTATCACGCTATGTCAATTTGGCTTAATTATACCAAAATCATTGCAAATTCAGCATTCTTATTTAATCATTGAAATCAGAACGTTCTGTAAAAACGGGTACTTACCTAAGAACAAGCATTCCTTGTTCTTAGGTACTCACACTAATACACAAAGTAAACATAGATTAAGAACAGTAGCTGTGATCAGCGTTGTTACGATTCCTAATCTATGTATATATTTTTTTAAATCAATTAAATTCGAATTAATTTTTTTTTTCTTACCCATTTTTCTTAGCTGAATTCATAGATTAAGAATACACTCTACGGCCGTATAGATTAAAAACCTGCGATTTTTACGTCTTCCCAAATTAAGAAATAGAATACCTAGTAATAAAAAAGACATTTGAATAAAAAGTATTTCGCTTTCTACGCGTCGTTTTTTCTAACTGGAGAGGAAAGGGGTTGTTTGTCTTATTTTCGTATATGGGGTCAGCTAAGCCGTTGCACGTCCACCCATACGGGTCTTTTGTGCTTCCCCCTGCTTTATACCATCATTTCAAAGATCCTATGTATTACCCTAACGATATCCCGCGGTTTAAGATATCTGTAGTCCCCTGGCTCTGGATAGCCGTTCCCAGTAGACTCATACGCATACTTGCCAACGAATCTCAGTTGCACATCAAGTGTTCCATGAATTCCGATTTCTCCCCGCACAGTCTGCACAGTGTGTCCGTAAAATGGGTTGTTAGTGGTGTGGTCTAATAACCCCATTGCTAACAATATACTTCTTCACAGTTCCTTTTGGACACCATCATTATCTATAATTCTTGTTGAATACGTCATGATGGCCCAACTTCGTCCTCATCTATTATCTCTCACTAGTGTCAGCGTATACCCATATGATACAGCGTTGCCATTCTATTATAACCCATAAAAAGAAATATAATTTAGTATCTATCCTATGGGTACAATAAATAATCCATTGTATCGAAACAACATGCATGGCGTGACTCGGTTTTAAAATTGTAAGGGATTCTGAGCGCTACACCAAGATCTAATCCCAGACATACTGTTTTTTTGATGGGTGAAAATGGTATGGTAACCCCGCCTGCGCTAACGGGATACGCTGGCGGAGCACCAGTGAAGGGTGATAGATGAGAATGAAAACAGGCCAGTTAACCCATCATGATGAATTCATCAGGAATTAACCATGATAGTTTCCAGGGGGAGCCGCGAGGAGGTCGACCTGGTTGAATATATTGCTTGCAATGGGATTCTCAGTCTCCAATACTAACAATCCCTTTCCCCCCTCCCAGACATACTATCACTGCATTATACTGGCAGGGTGAAGGATGGAAATATGATTTTTTTCACAACACAGGGGGCAAACGAGCATGCGGCTCACCTGATGGTAAGTGACTACAGCCGCCCATGATCACCCACAACACCATAGTTATTGCAAGTGTGCTATCGGCTTTTAAAATGTAGGCAGATCAGTTAATCCATCGTGACGAACTCACTACAAATTAACCACGATGGATTCCTGTGAAGTCCGCGTAGAGGGCGACACTACACCACATAAGATATGCCATAGACGACACAGTATACTCTATAATTTCCACGGTATTATTCATTAGTATTGGTCACGGTTACAACTTTTGATGAGGTGGGCTACCTCTTTTTATGGAATTTACAGGGCACAAAGACATAACACCTAATTCCTCTGGAATGGCAACAAATGAGGGATATTATGGGCGAAACAGTATACTCTGTTATGTTCATGGTATTGCTTATGTTTATAAGCGACGGTTACCACTTTTCATCAGGTGAGCCGTCAGATTATTTGTCATTCTAATTAAATAAAAAAAAGTAAACGTGAGTAACGTCATTGGTCATGTATCGGTTAAGATTATCTACTAAATGATAAATTATAATACTGGTGTCAAATGAAAACACTAAAGCAAACCACATTTATTTATTAATTTACCTAAGAGTAAAACACAAATCAGAAATGGTCCAGTTTAGATTCAAACCTAAGACCTCGTAAATAAAAGGATGAAGTTTAGGCGAAGTAACTGTCTAAAATAAAGCAAAAAGTTTTCAATGACTACCTTAAATCTACTTTATTATTATTGTAAATCTTTGGCTCTTAAACATACTTGTAAAATATTATTTGCTTTCATATGCATAATCCTTAAGTAACCTGCAGTCTTCGTTCTTCTTCTTGTTGACCAAAGTTTTGGTAGATGGCGCTAGTTTGCGGAATAATAAAAATCAAAAGTAATTTATTCTTTTTATTAATTAAAATGTATCAAAATTAATTATCTAACTGTAGTAATAATGAAAACGTCTCAATTATTACATGCTTTTATTCATATCTTTCAGTTATTGATTAAAATATAGAACATAGTGCTTGTACCAATATTTTCCTATAGCTAGTTATATATAGGTAGTCAGTGACGTAGAGATCACGCCACCTTTTCCATACGATTGCTGTATTCTTATTGGTGGACAAAGTTATTCCCCCTACCACCATAAACAGGAGCATTCAACATGTTTAGTGTTGTCAATAACGTAAAATCACTCGATTATATCGACACTGAACACCAAAAATAATATAAATTTGCATTGAAAGTTAAGCAAATTGAATAAGTAGGGATATATATTTTAATTTTCAGACTTCTTCTTTTATACAAATAGGTTCCTTGTTTTTTTCTAAGTGATTAAAAACTTTCTAACTAACTAAAGGTTTTCAATCGAGATAAAAATATGTAGTAGCCATTTTTTTAATCTGACAAATAATATACATTAGGTACATCACTATAAATACAGTTTTATGTGACGTTACGGCATTAGTGTTTACCTCGAGATTATTTGAAAATTTAGTGATAATTTACAAGTGTGATAGTCGCTGTGAACGCATAAATACGGAGGTAAGCATTTTTAATTGAGATGTTCTATCATTTATTATCCGTACGTGATACATTGTATCGCTTATGCAAATTTCATAACCTAAAACACTTCAGCTGGTTAATTTGTTTTTGTGCGATTATATCTATTGTCTTATTTTAAACATAATGAATTATAATAATGGCAGTTATAATTTGTTTGAATTTAAAATAAAATTTTTACGCAAATAAAACGCTTAAATTTAAATACCTTCATGTGGATTTCGTAAATTTTCACTTGGGTCTCGCAAAAAATTTATACTCCGCGTATTTGAAACAATGTTGTTCTTTTTTTATGTCACAATTATTGAATATAATACAATATGTTACTGATTTAAATTATAAATATAATTATAAATTGATACCATAATACACATATTTATTATTCTTAATTTAAAAGCGTGCAAAAAAAAAAAAAAACTAGTATGTTTATGATTCAGAATATGGTACCATACTATTGAAAATTTGTTATCATGAATGTCCTTATCGCCACAGGATACAAAACGTTATTCTCTACAGATAGATATGAAAGAGGGAAAATATAGTTAATATCTTGTAACATTCTTTTTGAATGTTACAAGATATTAACTATATTTTCCCATTACATCTAGTGTATCTTCTCATGAGTTGTTACACTGATTTAATTAATTCAGTATATCAAAATGCATGCATTTCTGGTTCACTCTCACAAAAACAAAAATTATCCAGGTTGTTACTGGCAACTGGCAATTCAACCTTTTTTATAACTTCTTTTTTTTAATATATAATATTCTTTATTGATCTGCACAGCAATTTTTCCCATAAAATGAATAACATTTCCAGTTAAATTAAATAGGCATTCGAGGATAAAACAAGGCAGATTGCCACTGAGACTAGACCAGATGTTGAATTCTACATTTATTTAACCAACTTCACTTTGTAATGTCTCATTTAGAGCTGAAGCATGTGTCACTGAAATCTAAGTTTACAAATTACTCAATGTTATAAACATTTTCTCCTTGAAACAAATTTTAATTTATTTATCTTTAAAAGTGTATATTTAAAATTTTAAATATTTCTAACAATAATTAATGAGTGTCTAAATAATAATGCTTGATTTTCTTGAAACAATATCTTCCTACATTAATTTACTATCCAAAAATATTGTTAACTATTAAGTAATTACAGATACTTTCCTTTTCAAGAACCTAAGAATAAATATTAATTTTAATTTTAAATAACTTTATTGACCAAAAGAAAATATGGTACAATAGGCCCACTCAATGCTAGTATCATTCTCTACCAATCAACCTTTGGGATAAACAGTGAATCATGAATATGGTACTTCATTATTGGGATAAGTAAAAATATAAACTATCATTCATTTTCATTTAAGAGTTTCCTCTTGTCGGTGCAACTAATTCATGCATCTTCCTCCAGCCAGCTCTATCCCAGGCCATATCCTTTATCTCCCTATACAACATGACGCCTAGTGTTTCCTTTATCTGTCCCATGTAGTTAATCCTCGGTCTTCCTCTTCATCTTTTTATATAAACTATAAATATTAACGAATAGATATATTAATAAACATACATGTAATAAGTTATTCACATGACATTCAACAAGTATTTGCTGTCAGAATGTTTTAAATAAAAAAAAAAAAAAAACAATAGTACAGTGACAAACATTAGGTACCTGTTTATCAAGTATTCATAAATCATTTTTAAAAAATAACATTCAATTATGTGTAAAATTGTCATGTTGTTATTCCTATGTTATATGTAATTAAGTGATTAAATTGCTATATTTTTTAATAACTGCTTACAACTTTGTTTTAAAGTTATAATGTTACTAGTTTTTACCTGTGACTTTGTCTGCATGACCAGGATTTTTTTATGTATAATAATGGAATTGTAACCCTGCTTGCATTAATGGTATATACTATTGTGGCATCAATGAGGAATTCAACAAGAATTGTTCGAGGTTAGAATGAAGAGGCAGATTGCTAGCAATGGGGCTGTCAAATTTCATTGCTAAAAATCCCTTTCCCCCCCTAAAGAGGCAGATTAGGAGGTCGATCTGACAGGGTATATTGCTAGCAATGGGGCTGGTAGTCTGCATTATTAACAATCCCTCCCATCCCAAAAATAATGTGTATACCAAAATTTATAGTAGATTGATTACCAAAATTCATAGCAATTGGTCAAGCTATTAAGCCACTATAAGGTAACAAACAAACTCACTTTCACGTTTATTATTCATAGGTAAGGATTATGTTGTCTGCATAAATTATATTTTTTTTTGATGGGTGGAAATGGTATGGTTACCCCGCCTTCATTAACAGGATATGCTGGCGGAGCACCAGTGAAGGTGATAGATGAGAATGAAAACAGGCCAGTTAGCCCATCATGATGAATTCATAAGAATTAACCATGATAGTTTCCAGGGAGAACCGCGATGAGGTCGACCTGGTTGGGTATATTGCTAGCAATGGAATTTTTAGTCTACATTACTAACAATCCCTTTGCCCCCATCATGAATTATATTAAACATTTTAGTTTTCATTCAAATTTGTATAGGTATTTATTGTTTTACTATTTTTATTTATTTACTATCCATCAACTTTGGCTAGGTACAGCTGATCTGAAGTGATGGGTTTACATACATTGGGCCATTGTTTTTATTTAAATATGTAGGTTATTTTAAAATTAACCATGATTCTATTGAAATATTATTATTTTAAAATTTTTGAATATTAAGCAAATAATCCTATAATAGTTTTAGTATACATTCTCTCCCTACTATACACTCGTGGTTCATTGATTCGTCATCTGACATATGTAGGATGATATTTTAAAAACAACTGTATTCTTATTGTAATCTTTTTTTGTAATTGTATCTTTAAGTTTACTATTATAATCTTTTGGAGTACAAACACAAAAAAACAAACAAAACCTATATATGTAAAAACAATTTTATCTAGTATGCCTTTTGTTGCACTATATCAGTATATCAGAGACTATAGCATGGGGTTCTTAAAAAAGGTGTATTAAGGTTTCTTAAGGGTCGGTCGGTGTTACAGACATCCATAGACTATGGTAACTCTGTTTACCAGGGATTGTTAGTAATGGAGCCTGAGAATCTCATTGCTAGCAATATACCCAACCAGGTGGACTTTCTCGCGGTTCCCCCTGGAAACTATCATTATTAATTTCTGATGAATTCATCATGATGGGCTAACTGACCTGTTTTCATTCTCATCCATCACCCTTCACTGGTGCTCCGCCAGCGTATCCCGTTAGCGCGGGCGGGGTTACCATTCCATTTTCACCTATAAAAAAAAATTCTGTTTACTATCAGACGGCCCATATGCTTTTTGCCATTTTGATTACCATTTTCCTCTTGGTGCATCGTCAACTAATATGTTATTCCATGTTGCATAAAAAAAAAAAAAACTATTTATGTTATGTTACTAACTATGCTATAAAGGTTAAATTAACTATCTGTCAATCGTATAATATTTGTAGTTAATTTGTAATTAGTTTTGTAAACTATTTCAAGTCGCCATAAAACAAACAGGTTCTCCATTTTCCTCATAATGTGTACTTGTAACCTGCCAGACAGATTTTTATTATACCTCTATCTCTGACGTAATCTCGCATAGCTAATTCAATGTTTTTTGAGTTTTTATGTGTTATTTCTTAGTAATTCATATCAATTAATAGATATTTTCCGTGATTATCAAATTTCTATATAACTCGAACGTGTATTATTTTAGATTTAATTTTTTTTTTTTAAGAAAATAAGCAATCTCCTTTCTATAGTAAGTGAGTGAGTATGTACTTTGTCAGGTGTTTTTTGAACTAACTGTATATTTTTAAGGGAGAGTATTGTCATTGAAACTGTACATTTTCACCAAACAAACATGAAGCATCGTATCGATCGATAAACGAAGGTCGATATACGTCAAAAAACTTTTTAAAGAAAGATTTTTCTTTTTCAATTTAACTTAGATTAAAGCATTTTTTAAAAGTAATTTTTTTTTCATTGCCGCTCATTCAGAATGTATTTTTAGTTAAGAAGAGCAGGCAAGAAATTAATCTGGTGCTTTTTTAAAAAATATATATATAAATAATAAATTTGTGTGAATACAAACTACTAAGCAATATCAGGTTATAAAATTTAAGCCTCACACTAACATTGTGCGTCCAGCTTGTAACTTAGTATTGGAGGCTCGAAGTCTTTTATCGTTTTTAATTTGTCATTGGAGATGTTTCCATCCTGAGGGCCTACCATGAAATATTTTCCGATATTTGGTTGGCGTACGTAACATAAATTCGAAGCTAAAATTACATAATACATATCGTTAAAATTATTAAAAATGTTAAAACATCATTCCTCTGGACTATTATGGTAAGATTTATGATGAACGAAATGTTAAGCTCCAGTTACTGGGTAGATTTCGGTACGAACAAAAACACGAAATTGAGCCCGATAATTCGGAATTTCATTTCATGGTAGACCCCCAGATAGATATTTACTCTTTATTGTTTCCTCCAAAAGATTACAATAGTAAACTTATTATAAATATAAACAATTACAAGAAATAATCACAATGAGAAAACAATGGGCGACCTTATCGCTAAGAGCGATCTCTTCCAGGCAACCTTTGGATGGAGAGGAGTAATTATAAACAGTTTGATCGGAGGCACGATGAAATTATATTATTTCTTAATATACCATAGATATGTTCTATTGTATGGGTAAATTCTTAATTTTATGTACGACTAACGACTTCGATTTCATCTGTATAACCGACAGCAACAAACAGTACTAGTGTAGTGACAAATCAAATTTGTGACGTCCGTCCACGGTTTGACAACATGAGGACGTTGCTTTCGGGGGGGCGCTAATTGAGCGGAAGCGCAGAGTCCACGCCGCGGCCTCCTCCGCGACCTTGTATCGGTTAAGGCTAGGTTTTTTTTTTTAACAAATGATAATGAAATGGCAACCCCGCCTGCGCTAACGGTATACGCTGACGGGGCATCAGTGAGGGATGATAGGTGAGAATGAAAAGGCAGGTCAGTTAGTCCATTGTGATGAATTCATCAGGAGGGGCAAAGGTATTGTTAGTAATAAGTAGGTTAGTCCCTATTGCTATCAATATATCCTATCGGGTCGACCTCCACGTGGTTCCCTCTGGAAGCTATCATTACTAATTTACCGTTGAATTGGTCACAATGGGTTAACTGACTTGTCTTCATCCTCACCAATCATCCCTCACTGGTGCCCCGTCAGTGTATACCAAAAGCGCAGGCGGGGTTACTATTTTATTATCATAATTTAAAAAAAAATACACTTGGAATTGAACACGATGGTTTCCAGGGTAGACCACGCGGAGGTCGACCTGACAGCAGCTAGCAAAGGGACTAGTAGTCCGCAGTACTAACAATCCCCCCGGTTAAGGCCATGTTAGGTTTGGCACTTCAGGTCTTATTGGTACTCCCTCGTGCGAGCGGCACAAAGAATTTTTTTTTTAGTACCCGTTTACTTATTTTCAGAAACTTTTATTTGGTGGTTTTGGTATTGGTACGGTAGATGTCAGTCTTTGAAGAGGTGGAAATGGAACGGTGACCTAATCTGCATTGTGGGTATACATATGTTGATGAAGCATCAATGAGTGTTAGATGAAAATGAAGTCAAGCCAGTATCGTCACTATCGTGAATCATAGTCTAAAAGTCTCTGGAGATATACCCCAGGCTAACTGGCCTTCCACGCAGTTCCCTCTGGAAACCATCTTTGTTAATTTTTTGTGAATTTGGCACTATATCCCAACTGAGCTGTATTCATCCTCACCTATTATTTTTGTCTGCTACCCCGCTAGTGTACTTCGATAGCGTAAGCGGAGCTACCGTTCCATTATAAAGGAAAAATCGCTCAATCCATTAGGAATTCACCACCATGATTTCCAGTAATTTCGCATAGAGATCAACCTGGCAGGACGCTTATTGCTAGCAATGAGAATCTAACTATCCTATTGATTTTTATAAATTAAAACAAATAATCGTGTAGGCAGTAGTTCGTCATACGTAAATGTATATTTGTATGTGTAGGTATTAATATATAAATACACTATTACATATTACTATGTATGTTTATTGAATGAATGAATGTATGTATGCAATTTACCATATTATTACTAATATAAAACTAATAGATTTAGTTGGTTTGATGGATGACACATCTTAACCCTTTGAGTGCCGACGAGCGCCATCGCGCTCGTGCGCATTGCAACTAAAAGTGCCACGAGCGTCACAGCGCTCGTGAAATATGTTTACTGTAAAAAAAATATTAAAAAATAATTTTTGGTGGAATGGATAAATGACATCAACAGGACAAAGTTGGCATTTTTAATGGAATAAAAATCAATGGCATCTTAAGATTGACTGGTAGAGAATGCCTATAGCATTAAGTCCGCCTTTTGTGCCACATTTTATTGGTTAATAAAGTTTAAATAAATAAATAAAGCGCCACGCCCTATTATTAACCATCCT